TATGGCCAAATTCCTGTTGGAGGTAACTATAGGGGTTCCTAGATAGAACATTTCTCAAGGCATTTAGAAAGCCTCCAGAATGAATCTGTTGGCAGTTAACCTTGTTCAACTTTTGTCTTTTTCTATTTTTGAATGTTTACCACTTTTGCTGTACTTGTATTTAGTACTTTTCTTACTCTGTTTGAAATGTTGTCAAAATACAATACAAAAAAGGTGCCTCGGACTCTTTTTTGCTGCAACAAATATAGAAATGTTGATTGGGTTTTCAAAAAAAGGTGAGTCCCATTTTATCCTCATAGGAATCTGGAGAGTTAAACTTGGCTTTCTCGAGTGGAAAAGGAGAGCTGAGAGATGGCAAGAGGAGAGCATGGATAAAGCAAATGACATATATATAGAAATATACTGAAATAAACTATAGGCTTATTGTGAATTGTTTACTTTTGAGAAATTGATTTCACATTTTTTTGTCCTTGGTTCCTGGCATAGGCCTTTAAACCCTTTAGTCAGACTTATGACTGTACTCCAATAAAGAACTGTTTGTTGTTGTTAACTGCCATTAACAACGGTCAACCTCTTAATCCTGCAGACAACCTTATTCGAGTGTGTCCACCTGAGGATAGGAGACCGGGACAGAATAGGGATTCTGTTAGTGTACCGTCCACCCTGCTGCACTACAGTCTCCCTACCTGAGCTAGCCGGGGTGGTCTTGAGCCTGGTGCTGAAGTCCCAGTGGCTTTTAGTGCTGCGGGATTTCAACATCCATGCAGAGACCACCCTTTCAGGAGCAGCTCAGGACTTCATGTCTTCCATGGCAACCATGGGGCTGTCTCAATTAGTAGCTGCCCCTACTCACAGTGCTGGACACACACTGGATTAGGTTTTCTGCCAGGGATGGGAGGAAGGTGGCAGTGTTGAGAAGCTGGCCATTGCCCCATTGCCATGGACCGACCATCACCTGATCAGGTTCAGACTTACTGCTCCCCCCTAACCTCTGCAGGGGTGGAGGAGTGATTAAGATGGTCTACCCCAGGAGGCTTATGGATCAAGATGGACTCCTGATGGCTCTTGGGGATTTTCCTGCACCTCAGTAGGTGATCCTGTTGAGGCTCTGGTCACCCTCTGGAATGGGGAATTGGCCAGGGCAATAGACATGATTGCTCCAGAACATCCCCTCTTGAGTAGCCAAGTTAAACCATCTCCTTGGTTCAATGAGGAGCTGGCAACAATGAAGCAAACAAAGAGGAGACTAGGGTGCGTGTGGCAGAAAAAGACTAGCAAGTCAAACCGAACACGGCTATACCTTTATCTAAAGGTATATGCCACAGCAAATGATGCCGCAAAGAAATCTTTCTTTTTGGCTAATATTGCATCTGCAAAGAACCGTCTGGTGGAGCTGTTCCGAGTAGTCAGAGGGCTGTTGAACACCGCCTCGCAGGACGGGTCCCCTGATGACTCGGCAGCCTGCTGTGAAGCATTTGCTCAGTTCTTTGCAGACAAAGTTGCTTTGATCTGCTCAGACTTTGACACCATGTTAACAGCAGTCTCTGAGGATGCAACGAGCACCTGCTTTTCTGGTTTTGATGGATTCATTTCAATTGGTTCAACTCAAGGATGTGGACAAGATTCCTGGAGGAGCAAGAGCAACCACATGCATCCTAGACCTCTGCCCATCCTGGCTTCAAAAGGAGGACAGGCAGGGACTGGCTGAGTGGGTGAAGGTGGTGGTCAATGCCTCCCTTCGGGAAGTCAAAATTCCAGCCAGCTTAAAACAAGCTGTTATAAAACCACTGTTGAAGAAATCATCACTGGACCCCACTCACTTCAGTAATTATTGGCCTGTTTCCAATCTTCCCTTCTTGGGCAAAGTCCTGGAACGTGCGGTGGCCTCAAAACTCCGCAGTTTTTTGGAAAACACGGACTATCTAGATCCAGCGCAGTTGGACTTTAGGCTGGGACATGGTACCGAGTCAGCTTTGGTCGCCTTAGAGACACTGGGAGTGTGTCCCTGTTGGTTCTGCTGGACCTCTCATGGGCCTTCAATACCATTGACTACAGTATCATGTCTAGCTGAAATGGGCCTTGGAGGCACTGTTTTTCAGTGGCTCCAGTCCTTTCTGGAAGGTCGTTCCCAGAAGGTATTGATGGGGGACACCTGCTTGGCCCCACGGCCTTTGTACTGTAGGGTCCCACAGGGTTGGGAGAGATCATCCGGAGTTTTGGAGTCTGGTGTCACCTGTACGCAGATTATGTCCAGCTCTGTCACTCCTTTCCACCTCCTACTAAGGAGGCTGTACAGGTCCTGAACCAGTGCTTGCCGGCTGCAACAGACTGGATGAGAGCAAACAAATTGAAACTAAATCCAGACAAGACAGAAGTTCTCCTAGTCAGTTGGAAGGCCGAACAGGGTATAAGGTTACAGCCTGTGCTGGATGGGGTTACACTCCCCCTGAAGGCTCAGGTTCACAGTTTGGGAGTGATCCTGGACTCATTGCTGAGCCTGGAACCTCAGGTCTCAGCGATGGCCAGGGGAGCTTTTGCACAATTAAAACTTGTGTGCCAACTGTGCCTGTATCCTGGAAGGTCAGACTTGGCCATGGTAGTCTACTCTCTGGTTTCATCCCGAATTGATTACTGCTATGCACTCTACGGTTGCCTCTGAAGACTGTTTGGAAGCTTCAGCTAGTCCAACGCTCGGCAGCCAGGTTGCTCATGGGAGTAGTATACCGTGACCTCCCCTTGTCACCAAAAGCCCTGCTCAGGTCCTGCAAAGTCAGGGCTGCGGCTTCCTTCAGTCTCTCCATCTGGATGAGGTCTTCCCCTTTCCCTCCTGCCTTCTTCTCACTTGTCAATCATTATTGACTTTTCTCATTGTTATCAGAAAAATCAAAACTAGTCTTCCAACTTCCTAAAGGGGTCCAATTCAAGAATGGGAAACATAATGTTGGTGGACAGGAAAAGAGATTTAAATATGGACTTAAAGCCAACCGTAAAATCTGTGGCATAGACACAGAACTGGGAAGCCCTTGCCCTCGAATGCTCTAACTGGAGGTCGGCTGTGACCAGCAGTGCTGCAGAATTTGAAGAGACAAGAATGGAGGGTGAAAGGGAGAACAATATGGCTCCACAACCACCTATGGACTGACCACCAAGACACTGTACTTGCAGGACCATCATCCTTGGTCTACGAGGTATCGCCTAAGTAAGTAAGTAAAGTATTCCACTACAGCTGAAAGAGGAGACAAAGCGGATCCCACTTGACATCCTGTGTCTCCTCTTTTCTTCAGAAGTCTGGGGCTTGGGGTTCAGAGGAGGGGCCTTGAAGCCACCCAGCCAGAGGTCCTGGGTCTCGCTCAACTCCAGGGTGATAGTTGACATCTGCTTTCCAGTAGTTTGAATCCATTTCTGTGTACCTTAGTCTCCAAAGTAAAAGAAAAAAAAAACCTAGCCTCTTCTCAATCTGACATCCCTTCAAATATTTCAGTTTGGCTACAATGTCACCTCTCACCTCGCTCTCCTCATACACTTGGCTTCCAAACCTTTGACCAATTTGGCTGTCCTTCTCTGGATACGTAACAATGTGTCAATATAATTCTTCAACTATGGACTCATACTCTGGACACATACATTTCTGGCACGTCCTTGTGAAGTGAGGGAACATGGCTGTAGGGTTTGCCTGACTGCTGACATAGGTGTTTATTGCCCTCTGGTGGGGAACCATTTGTTTTGTATTGATTCTGGGTGAGAGAGCAGAGCATTTTCCTATATTCCCACCTATTTGTTCTCCTTTGTTTGCTTTCTCTGCCAAAGAGTGCTGGTTCCTGGCCAAACTAGATTCCCATGACTCTATTATATGGAGGAGATAGCTCAAGTGGCATCAAACTGCATTTATTCTACAGTGTAGATCAGTTATTCTCAACCTTCCTAATGCTGTGACTCCTTAATTCCTAATGTTGTGGTGACCCCCAACCATAAAATTATTTTTGTTGCTACTTCATAATTGTAATTTTCTACTGTTATGAATTGTAATGTAAATATCTGATATGCAGGATATACTTTCATTCACTGGACCAAATTTGGCACAAATACTCAATATGCAGAGAGCAATGACCAATCTCGAAAAAATACTAAAGAGTAGAGACATCACATTGGCAACGAAGATCTGCATAGTTAAAGCAATGGTATTCCCCATAGTAACCTATGGATGTGAGAGCTGGACCATAAGGAAGGCTGAGCGAAGGAAAATAAATGCTTATGAACTGTGGTGTCGGAGGAAAGTTCTGAGAGTGCCTTGGACCACGAGAAGATCCAACCAGTCCATACTTCAGGAAATAAAGCCCGACTGCTCGTTGGAGGGAAGGATAGTAGAGGCAAAGATGAAGTATTTTGGCCACATCATGAGAAGACAGGAAATCTTGGAGAAGACAATGATGCTGGGGAAGATGGAAGGAAAAAGGAAGAGGGGCCAACCAAGGGCAAGATGGATGGATGGCATCCTTGAAATGACTGGCTTGACCTTGAAGGAGCTGGGGGTGGTGACGGCCGACAGGGAGCTCTGGCATGGGCTGGTTCATGAGGTCACAAAGAGTCGGAAGTGACTAAACGAATGAACAACACACCCAATATGTCCACATTTGAGGATTGATATTGTCATTTGGGAGTTGTAGGTACTGGGATTTGTAGTTAACCTACAATCAAAAAGCATTCTGAACTCCACCAACAATGGAATTGAACCAACTTGGTACACTACCTGCATGGGCAACATTGAATACTGGTGGGTTTGGGAGTCTGTTTTTGAATTCTGGAAATTGTAGTTCACCAACACCAAAAAGGAAGAGGTGGACAGGCAGAGAGATCTTCAGCCTTCTCTGCCAAAGGAGTTCCTAAGACCATCAGAAATATATTTTCTGATGGTCTTTGGCGACCCCTCTGAAACCCCCTCACGATCACCCCAGGGATCCCGACCCCCAGGTTGAGGAACACTAGTGTAGGTGGTTGTGGGGGCAAGAGAAAACGTTCCCCTGTCAATTTGAAAGATCCACCAAGTTCCTATGCGGAGTTCTTTAGGGCTTTATAGATAATGACCAGCCTTTTGAATTGTAACTGGAAATAAACTGGGAGTCAGGGAAGCCTTTTTCAGAGTTATGTACTCCATATACCTTACTGAGCAAGTTACATAATGCCCAGGAAGGCAAAGGAAGGCAAGGATTTCATGTCCAGGTTCTCAAAAGCACTGGCATTTTGAGAGCTCATATCTTGCAGCACTAGAGGCTGGGCAGAGGTGGAGTCATCAGGTGCTTTTCAGGAAGGGAAAGTCTGCACAAACAAAAGTAAGGACATCAACTCGGTTTTGTCTCTCTTTGTCACAGCAACTGTCCCAGCCATGGCATTTAGAGATTATGTCAAGGAGCTTTGTGAGGAACTGGCCTGTCCCATCTGCTTGGGGTATTTCAAGAAGCCTGTGATCATCTCTTGTGGGCACAATTTCTGCCAGTCCTGCCTGGATCAATGGTGGGAGGACAAAAAGGCCTCCTGCCCACAATGCAGGCAGAGAGTGGAGGAAGGAGATATCAGGCCAAATAGGCCGTTGGCAAACCTGGAGGAAATAATCATAAAATTGAAGATTGAGAAGGAAGAAGAAAAGAGGAGATTCTGCCAGGGGAACCACGAAGTCCCCATCTGGGTGGTGTGCTACATGTCAGAGAAGCACAAAAACTACCAGGTGATTCATCTGGACAAGGCGTCAAAACAGTACAAGGTACAGAGTGTGGCTGGCAGTTCAATATTTCCCTAGACCAGTGGTTCTCAGCCTTCTGAATGCCGCAACCCCTTAATATAGTTCCTCATGTTGTGGTGACCCCCAACCATAAAATTATTTTATTGCTACTTTATACCTGTAATTTTGCTACTGTTATGAATCATAATGTAAATATCTGATATGCAGGATGTATTTTCATTCACTGGACCAAATTTGGTACAAATACCCAATATGCCCAAATTTGAATACTGGTGGGGTTGGGCGGGTTGATTTTGTCATTTGGTAGTTGTAGTTGCTGGGATTTATAGTTAGCCTACAATGAAAGAGCATTCTGAACGCCACCAACAATGGAATTGAATCAATCTTGGCACACAGAATTCCCATGACCAACAGAAAATACTGGAAGGGCTTGGTAGGCATGGGCCTTGAGTTCTGGAGTTGTAGTTCACCTACATCCAGAGAGCACTGTGCACTCAAACAATGATGGGTCTGGACCAAACTTGACACGAATACTCAATATGCCCAAATGTGAACACTGGTGAAGTTTGGGGAACATAGGCTTGACATTTGGGAGTTGTAGTTCCTGGGATATATAATTTACCTACAATCAAAGAGCATTCTGAACCACACCAACGTTAGAATTGGGACAAACTTCCCACACAGAAGCCCCAAGACCAACAGAAAATACTGTGCATACTGATGACCTTTGGCGACCCCTCTGACATCCCCTTACGATACCTCCAGGCTTCCTGACCCCCAGGTTGAGAAACACTGCTCTAGACCATGAGATTTTCAGAGATAAGGTGCATCTACATGGTAGAATTAATGGATTTTGATACCACTTTTGCTGCCATGACTCAATATTATGGAATTACAGTAGTTATTATTTTACCAAATCTCTAGCCTTCTCTGCATCACCAAACTACAAATCCCAGAACTCCAAAGTATCTAGTCATGGCAGTTGAGGGGTGTCAAATTAATGGATATTGATACCATTTTAGCTGCAGTGACTCAGGGCCTTTCCATACAGCTATATAACCCAGAATATCAAGGCAAAAAATCCCATAATATCTACTTTGAACTGAATTATCTCAGTCTACACTACCATATATTCCGGTTCAAAGCAGATAGTGTGGGATTTTATTCAGCTGTGTGGAAGGGGTCTCAATGTTATGGAAAAACGCTATTTGTTGTTTTACAAAAATATCTAGCTTTTTCTGCCAAGGAGTGTTGGTGTATCACCAAACAACAAATCCCAGGATTCCAGAGTATTTAGTCCAACGAGCAGTGGCCAGGATGTTAACTGGGGCCCCTTACAGAGAGAGGTCAACCCTCCTGTTCAAGGAGCTCCACTGGCTGCTGTTCATTTTCCAAGCCCAATTTAAGGTGCAGGTGCTTACCTACAAAGCCCTGAACGGTTTGGGACCATCCTACCTGCGTGACCACATCTCTGTCTACGAACCCATGCGTTCACTTCGGTCATAACTGGAGAGGCCCTGCTTGTGATCCCGCCTGTGTCGCAAGCGCGTTTGGTGGGGACACGAGACAGGGCCTTTTCCGTGGTGGCCCCCCAACTCTGGAACACCCTCCACAAAGATCTTAGACAGGCCCCTACATTGGCAGTCTTTAGAAAGAACCTGAAGACCTGGCTGTTCCGATGTGCCTTCCCAGAATAGGAAATCTCCAATACCAAGTCCCAGAAGCACTTTATTAGAACTAAGATTGCCGCACACTGCACACTGCACTTGCCCTATAAGCCTTATATTCCACCTGTCACATCAGCACTTTTAATCCTGTACCCATTATTCTGGCCCGGCCCAGTTTTATTGTGTCTTAGTGTATTGTTTATTGCTTGTTGTTTAAATATTGCTTTAATTGTTTTTAATTTGCTTTATGTTTTGTATTGTTGTGTTGTGTTTTGAGGCCTTGGCCTTTGTAAGCCGCATCGAGTCCTTCGGGAGATGCTAGCGGGGTACAAATAAAGTTTAATAATAATAATAATAGTCATGGCAGTTAAAATGTTCTCAAACTGCACTAAACCTACAATTTATATAAGCCTTAAGACAATCAGCAACAGATTTAAACATAAAACTCATAGAAAATGGGGGGGGGGGGGATACTTCTGCCTCATCATGTCATTGAGCACCTTCCTGAGTAGATTCTAAGTCAAGGCGGATTGTATCCATCTCTTGGGAGTGCTTTGATTTTGTATCCCTGTATGGAAGAATGGAATTGGACTTGATAGTCTTTAGGATCTCATGTAATTTATGATTCTTTGCTCCCTTATCCAGGTGAAATGGTGGATATTTCCCCTAAGTTGTTTGGATAAGAAAGTTTTAATCTAGCCTTCTTGCTTGCTGCCAGATATTAGATATAGAGAGGAGCAGAAGGGGAGTCCAGAATTAAGCAAGTTTTTCAGAATACAGTAATAGAATCCAGGCAAATCTCAGGCGTCACAAAACAGATTGCTCAGACTTAACAATTCAAACAAAGAAAAGGAGTCACAGATCAGTAAATTGGTCAAGGAAAACAACCCAAATCAAAGGAAGAAGCAACAAAAATAATAACAAAATAACAAAACAGGAATGGGGGAAAAAACCAAATTGGGTTGTTGTAGGTTTTTGTCGGGCTATATGGCCATGTTCTAGAGGCATTCTCTCCTGACGTTGCACCTGCATCTATGGCAAGCACCCTCAGAGGTTGTGAGGTACTGACCTCACTACCGAAAAAACCTACAACAACCCAGTGAAAAGCCTTCGACAATACAAAAATATACAATACAAAAAACCAAATTGATTTTCACGTGCCCCTTCCACACAGCTGAATGAAATCCTACATTATCTGGAGCAGTGTTGAACTGGAATATATGGCAGTGTGGACTCAGATATCCCAGTTCAAAGTAGTTATTGTGGGATTTTCTGGCTTGATATTGTAGTCGAGCATGACCCCTCCCCCTGAAGTCAATACAGACTTTAGGAGGGTCTCCCCAGTAAGAGAGACCCCTAGGACCGCACCAAAGAGGGTCCCCAACCTTGGTGAGGACAGAGAAGGCGAATGGATGGAGATAGCAGATAGGTTTAGAATTTAGTACAGAAAAATATGACATTAAAATGGAGCCGATCCACCATTTTATGATTTTGTGGATACCGAGATCCGAAAGGAGAAACTCCATATCCGCGGTTTCAAATAACATAGATCCGGCTTCCCCGGAATGCCAGGGAAGCATTCCGGGCAGGCTCGTGGTTCCCCGGAGCCTGGACAAGGTTATTTTCATGCAAGTTGATAGTTCAGGTAGGGAGAGACACAAAGTATCAAGTGGAAAAGTTAAAAGTTGCAATTTCAAGTACCTTTATTAGGGGAATAGCTACAATGTTAGGGCTTGGGGAAAAAGTGATAGAAAGGCACAGAGGCTGAGTGCAGTCCTAGTTCGAGCTGTCTTTTGGGGCACATTTCATCAGTTTGTCCCAATTGTGACTTCTAGGAACTGCGGAACTCTCCGCTGTGGGTCAAACCAACTTGAAGGCGGGGGCCTCCACTGCCCTCGATGACACCCCTTTAAAAGATAGTTTATAATTAGGTAACTCATAGTTTTGCGCAGGACACCAGTCTGGAATGACTGCCTTCCACCTGGAAACCGATGCCCTCATTGCAGGAGAACATGCAGATCAAGAATAGGGCTCCACAGCCACCTATGGACCCACCGCTAAGACACTACACTTGGTGGGCCATTATCCTCGGGGTACGAGGGATGGCCTAAGTAAAAAGTAAGTAAAGTGATGAAGTCCATCCTATGGATTTCCAAAATAATATGTAGTACATGAGCATAACTTGGGACTTTCAGACACTGTTTATTTTTGCTCTTGATGAGTAAAGAAAATGGTAGGTTAATATGAGCAAAAGAAAGAGGGGGCTGCAAATAGAGATCACTCCTGTAAAAATTGTAAACAAGTTAGTGTGGTTGTTCACATGATCTCTAAAACCTTTTTCTCTGGAAAAGACCTGACAGTATACAGAAAATATTTTGATACAAGCCCATCCAGTGTTGGGCCCTTGTAAGTCTTCACAAAGAAACAATGAAAATGACAAAATCTGGCTACCAGTATTAAAAGACTCTAAAATCATAATCTATATATATAATAAAGAAGAGTGTTTGTTTGTATAGGACAGAGGAAGGACGGAGGGAGGGCGGAAGTGTATGTGGCAGCTTTCTGATTGGCTGCCGCTGTGGTGCTATTTGCATATGGTCTCTGATTGGCCAGCTTCAATAGGAGCCCCTGGTGGAGAAGAGGGTTCATGGCAGAAACGGGGCATGACAGAAGGAAATTTGCATATGGTCTCTGATTGGCCAGCCTCATTTCCAACATTCCGAGATGACAAAGAGAGGAAAGGAAAGGTCGGGGGCTGGGTCAGTACACTCCCAATACAGACGAAACTTGCCACACAAAGCCCCCATGACCAACTCGACATCCTACTGCAGTTTGGAGGAGGATGAACCATGGATGATGGGACTTGCAGTACCACCACTCACATTCTGAGACCGCTGTTAACCTCATCCAATGACTGATCAGGACCAAACTTCGCACATAGACCTCTCATGACCCACTGTACGTCCTGGTGTGGTTTGGCCGGGGATGGACCGTGGATTATGGGACTTGCAGTACCATTGCTCAGTTCTTCAGACCACTGCAACCCTCATCCAATTACCAATAAATACCAAACTTGGCACACTGAGTCTCCATGACGCACTCTACATCCAGGTGCAGTTTGAAGGAGGATGCACCATGGACGATGGGACTTGCAATACCTGGACTCCCTTCCTAAGACCATTACAACTGCCAACGATGATGGATCAGGACCACATTTACACAGAGAGCCTGCATAACTCACTCTACATCCTGGTGCGGTTTGGAAGAATTTGACAATGGATGATGGGGCTTGCAGTCACTTCAATCACTTCCTGAGACCACTGAGACCCTCGCCAATGACTCATCAAGACTAAACTTGGCACTTGGAGCTTCAATGACCCACTCTACATCCTGGAGCACTTTGGAGGACGACAGATAATGGATGATGGGACTTCAAGTACCTCCACTACCCAAGACTGCTGCAAAACTCATCTAATGACCAATCAAGACCAACGTTGGCACACAGAGCCCCCATGACCCACTCTACATCCTGCTGCAGTTTTGGAGAAGGGTGGACCATGGATGATGGACTTCCAGTACCTTCACTCACATTCTGAGACCTCTGCAAACCTCATCCAATGATGGATCAAGACCAAACTTGGCACATAGACCTCTCATGACCCACTTTACGTCCTGGTGTTGTTTGGAAAAATTTGGAGATGGATGATGGGACTTGCAGTACCTTTGCTCACTTCCTGAGACCACTGAGACCCTCGCCAATGACTCATCAAGACTAAACTTGCCACATGGAGCTGCAATGACCCACTCTACATCCTGCTGCAGTTTGGAGGAGGACAGACCATGGATGATGGGACTTCAAGTACCTCCACTCCCTTCCAAAGATTGCTGCAACCCTCTTCTAATGACCAATCAAGACCACACTTGGCACACAGAGCCCCCATGATCCACTCTACATCCTGCTGCAGTTTGAAAGGGGATGGACTTTGGATGATGGGACTTGCAGTACCTTCACTCACTTACTGACACCACTGCCACCCTCATCTAATGACTGATAAAGACCAAACTTGGCACACAGAGCCCCTATGACCCACTCTATATCCTGCTGCTGTTTGTAGGAGGATGGCCCATGGATGATGGGACTTCAAGTACCTTCACTCACTTCCTGAAAATAATGCTGCCATTATCCAAAAACCAATAAAGACCAAACTTGGCATACAGAACCACCATTACCCACTTTCTCTAATAACCCGGGCAACGCCGGGTCCCCAAGCTAGTAGTAAATAAAGAACAACATTCAAAAACAGGGGAACTCCAGACAAGAAACAATCAGAGACAGCTAATCACCTCTCAACAAAGGATTCCCCCAGGCAGTAAGAAGCCACACCTTGAAATCTCCCAGGACATTAAATGCTAATCAAGGTGGCCAATTGAAACATTCATATCTACCACCAACAGGCAAGAGTTCTTTCTCCCACACTGGATATTCCACAGATATATAAACCCCATTTTCCTAGTTTCCAACAGACCTCATAACCTCTGAGAATGTCCACTGAGATAACAAAGAATTAGGACAATCTTTTTATGGGAAGAATTTTGGAACAAAAAATTAAAATATATGTGTGCTTATGATTTAAAAGAAAATTGGATAAAAATGATGCATAGGTGGCATATAAAACCACACAAATTGGGCAAATATTACAAAAACATAAATAAAAACTGGGTTGTTGTTGTAGGTTTTTTCGGGCTCTATGGCCATCTTCTAGAGGAATTCTCTCCTGACATTTCGCCTGCATCTATGGCAAGCATCCTCAGAGGTTGTGAGGTCTGTTGGAACTAGGAAAATTGGATTTATATAGCTGTGGAATGACCAGGGTGGGGCAAAGAACTCTTGTCTGCTGGAGCTAGGTGTGAATGTTTCAACTGACCACCTTGATTAGCATTTGATGGCCTGGCAGTTTTTTGGTGTGGCTTGTTAGTGCCTGGGACAATCTTTTGTTGAGAGGTGATTAGCTGTCCCCGATTGTTTCCTCTCTGTTGTTTTGCCGTTGTAATTTTAGAGGTTTTTTTTAATACTGGTAGCCAGATTTTGTTCATTTTCATGGTCTCCTCCTTTCTGTTGAAATTGTCCATGTGCTTATGGATTTCAATGGCTTCTCTGTGTAGTCTGACATGGTGGTTGTAAAAACTGCTGGAAATGTGGAGAGATAGAAGGAACTTTTTACCACATGTGGTAGTTGAGTAAAAAAGCAAAACTATTTTGGAAAGAAATACAAGAAAAAGCCCAAAAGATGTTAAAGATAACAATTCCATGAAAACTAGAAATATTTCTACTAGGAATGAATGAACAAATAATTAGACAAAAACATAGATAAACATCTATTCCTATTAATGACAGCTGCAGGAAAATGCTATGCAAGATTGTGGAGGAAAAATGAAAACCCCGAAATAGAAAAATGGATGGCAAAACCCTTAGAAATAAGGAAGATGGACAGGTTAACATACCTGATCTCAAAATCAAGAGAATACAAGAAACGAGATGGATTAGAGCCTGATAATGGAATATTTAAAGCAAAATAAAAACAAGATAACCATGTAAAGAATACACACCCGAGCAGGAACATTAAAAGAAGGGGAGAATAATCAAGAAGAAAAGAACAGAAAAGGGAAAGGGAAAGATCTCAAGGAAGATGCTCGGAAGGGAGACTTTTTAGCTTTCACATTTTATCTTTTTTGTTTTTGTTTTTTTAATCTTTTTTCTCCTCTTTTTTCTTTCTCTTTCTTTTTCTCTCTCTTTTCTTTTGTGCTTTTATTTATTACTGAAAATACCTAATAAAGATTTTTTTCAAAAAGAAAGACTAGGGCTCCATAACCACCTATGGACCCACCGCTAAGACACTACATTTGGAGGGCCATCACCTTCGGGGTACGAGGGATGGCCTAAGTAAAAAGTAAGTAAAGTGAGAAAGTCCATCCTATAGATTTCCAAAATAAAATGGATTAGTACATGAACATAACCTGGAACTTTCAGACACTGTTTATTTTTGCCTGGATGGGCTCTTGGTGAGTAAAGAAAATGGTGGGTGAATATGAGCAAAAGAAAGAGGGGGCTGCAAATAGAGATCACTCCTGTAAAAATTGTAAAAAAGTTAGTGTGGTTGTTCACATGATCTCTAAAACCTTTTCTCAAACCATTCCAAACCTTGAACTAAAAGAAGTAAACAAGGACTTTGTTTTTCTCTTCAGGATCAGATTTGGGAGTTACTGGAAACTCTGCAAAAGGAAAGAGAGAAGATTCTGGCCTATAAAGCAGAGGCAGCACAGGAAAGCCAAGGTTTGCTTGTACGTAAGACAGTATTACAGCCATGAGTACATATCTGGATAAGTAGGATATGCAGAAAAATTATTTTGTTAAAAATATATTTCCCTGGAAAAGACCTAATAGCATACAAAAAATATTTTAATACGCTCCCCAGCGAAATTAGGTCAGCTCCATCCCTCCTCTCCTTCAGGAAGAAGCTCAAAACATGGTTTTGGGATCAGGCATTTGGACAGCAGGTTTGACAATAATTACAATGTTTTTAGATTGGACTATGGTCAGGCTTTGGACTGGGCCATTGGTTGTTGAACCAAACTTGGATATGGTTAATAATAATGTTTTAAATAGATTTTAACTTAACGTTTTTATTACTGTGTAATTTTGTATGTTGCCGGCATTGAATTTTTGCTATTGTAAACTGCCCTGAGTCCCCCCTTAGAAGTTGAGAAGGACAAGGTATAAATGTTTGAAATAAATAATAAATAATAAATACAAGCCCATCCAGTGTTGGGCCCTTGTAAGTCTTCACAAAGAAACAATGAAAATGAAGAAAATCTGGCTACCAGTATTAAAAAAAACCCTCTAAAATCATAACAGTAAATAAGGAATAACATTTTAAAACAGGGGAACTCCAGACAAGAAATGATCAGGGACAGCTAAACACCTTTCAACGAAGGATTCCCCCAAGTAGTAAGAAGCCACACCTTGAAAACTGCCAGGCCATTAAAGGCTAATCAAGGTGGCCAATTGCAACATTCACACTTGCCTCCAACAGACAAGAGTTGTTTCTCCCACCCTGGACCTTCCACCAATATATAAATCTCACTTGCCTAGTTTCCAACAGACCTCACAACCCCTGCTATTTATTTATTTATTTATTTATTTATTTATTTATTTATTTATTTATTTATTTATAGTCCGCCCTTCTCACCCCGAAGGGGACTCAGGGCAGATCACAATGTACATATACATGGCAAACATCCAGTGCCGTTTTTGACATACAAGACATACAGACAGATAGAGGCCATTCAGCAGTTCTTTCATTTCACATCCTGGAGGTTGCTCAATTCGGTCACAGTTGGAGTTGTCACTTCGTCCACTATGATGTCGAGCCTTTTTGATCATAGTATTTCCTCTCCAGATGAACGAAGGGAGCGTGTGAGTTCATAAACGGAGATGCGGTCACGCAGGTAGGCAGATCCCAAACCATTTAGGGCTTTGTAGGTGAGCACCTGCACCTTGAATTGGGACCGGAAAATGAACAGCAGCCAATGGAGCTCCTTGAACAGGAGGGTTGACCTCTCTCTGTAAGGAGCACCAGTTAACATCCTGGCCGCCGCCCGTTGGACTAGCTGAAATTTCTGAGCCGTTTTCAAGGGCAGCCCCACGTAGAGCGCATTGCAGTAATCCAATCTTGAGGTGACCAAGGCATGGACCACCCCGGCCAAATCAGCCTTTGTGAGGTATGGTCGCAGTTGCCGCATGAGTCTCAATTGTGCAAAAGCCCTCCCGGACACCGCCGACGCCTGAGCCTCAAGCGTAAGAGACGAATCCAAGAGGACTCGCAAACTGCGGACCTGTGACTTCAGGGGGAGTGTAACCCCATCCAGCACAAGTTGCCACCCTATACCCCGATCCGGTTTACAATCGACCAGGAGGACCTCTGTCTTGTCGGGATTGGTCTTCAGCTTGTTCCTCCTTATCCAGAAAGCCACAGTGGCCAAGCACTCGTCCAGCACTCGAGGGGCTTCCTTGGAATTAGGTGGAAATGAGTAGTAGAGCTGTGTGTCATCTGCATAGATGGCACTTAACTCCAAAACTCCGGATGACCTCTCCCAGCGGTTTCATGTACATGTTAAAAAGCATGGGAGATAAAATAGAGCCTTGCGGGACCCCACAGGTCAAAGGCCAGGAGTCAGAGTAGGCATCTCCCAGCTTCAGCCTTTGCGAGGTAAAATTTACAAAATTTACAATAGAACATTGGCAATTCCAAAGATTATTTGCACCAAAACCCAACAAACGATTCGGCCCGAAATTAACAAGAATGTATTGGCAACTCCAAAAAACCCTCCCGACAAGGTACAGCTGAGATGCCAGGATGGTGGCCCCTCTGGGTTAAGGGTGGTGCTGCTCAATGCCAGGTCGGTAAATGGAAAGACTTCCATCATTCGAGATCTAATGGTCCGCCCCAGGAGACTTATGGATCCAAATGGTTTTCTGACGGCTCTTGCGGAACTTCCCACCTCCTTGGCTGGCGATTCTGTCGATGCCTTGGTCTCTCGCTGGAACACTGAAATGACTAGGGCAATCGATACGATCGCTCCGGAATGCCCCCTCTCGAGTAACCGAGCTAATTCTGCCCCTTGGTTTACCGAGGAGCTGGCAGCAATGAAGCGAAAGAAGAGGTGGCTAGAGCGCGTGTGGCGCCGGAGTCTGACAAACACATCTGAATGCCTTTTTAAGGTCCTACGATGTGGCAATAGCGGCAGCACAAAAAAAATCTTTTGCGGCCAATATTGCATCTGCGAAGAATCGTCCATCTGAGCTCTTCCGAGTTGTCAGGGGTCTGTTAAATCTGGCGAAAAGCAAGATCCCTGACAGCTCTGGAGCTCACTGTGAAGCATTTGCTCGATTCTTCGCAGATAAAATTGCGCTGATTCGGTCTGATTTCGATGCCACTTTAACTGCAGTCTCTGAGGATGTAACGAGAGCATCTGCTTGTCCGGTTTTGTTGGATTCATTTCAATTGGTTCAGCTTGAGGATGTGGACAGGATCCTTGGAGAGGTGCGACCTACCACATGCATCCTAGACCCCTGTCCATCCTGGCTGATAAAAGAAGCCAGAGGGGGCTTGGCAGAGTGGGTGAAGGTGGTGGTTAATGCCTCCTTACAGGAGAGCAAGATTTCAGCGAGCTTAAAACAAGCTATCATAAAACCGCTGTTGAAAAAACCATCACTGGACCCCACTGAATTAGACAACTATCGGCCAGTTTCCAATCTCCCCTACTTGGGCAAAGTCATGGAACGAGTGGTGGCAGCACAACTCCAGGGATTTCTGGTAGACACTGATTATCTAGATCCGGCACAGTCTGGCTTTAGACCGGGACATGGAATGGAAACAGCCTTGGTCGCCTTGGTAGATGATCTTCGCCGGGAGCTCGACAGGGAGAGTGTGTCCCTGTTAGTTCTGCTGGACCTTTCAGCGGCCTTCGATATCATCGATCACGGTATCCTTTTGGGACGCCTCATTGATATGGGACTTGGGGGTACTCCTTTGCAGTGGCTCCAGTCCTTTCTTGATGGACGGTCCCAGAAGGTGTTACTGGGTGACACCTGTTCGGCCCCACAGCCGTTGTCGTGTGGAGTCCCACAGGGTTAAATTCTGTCCCCAATGTTGTTTAACATCTACATGAAGCCGCTGGGGGAGATCATTCGGAGTTTTGGACTGAGGTGTTATCTCTACGCAGATGATGTCCAGATCTGTCACTCCTTCTCACCTGTCACCAAGGAGGCTGTCCAGACCTTGAATCGGTGTTTAGCTGCTGTGTCGGACTGGATGAGAGCTAACAAATTGAAACTGAATCCAGACAAGACAGAGGTCCTACTGGTCAGTCGTAAGGCCGAACAGGGCATAGGGTTACAGCCTGTGTTGACGGGGTTACACTCCCCCTGAAGACGCAGGTTCGCAGCTTGGGAGTGATCCTGGACTCATCGCTGAGCCTGGAACACCAGGTCTCGGCGGTGGCCGGGAGAGCTTATGCACAATTAAAACTTGTGCACCAGTTGCGCCCGTACCTTGGGAAGTCTGATCTGACCACAGTGGTCCATGCTCTTGTTACATCCCGAATAGACTACTGCAACGCACTCTACATGGGGTTGCCCTTGAAGACTGTTCGGAAACTTCAACTAGTCCAACGGGCAGCAGCCAGATTGCTCACCGGAGCACCATGCAGGAGCACACCACCGCCCTGCTATGTCAACTCCACTGGCTGCTGGTTCATTTCCAAGCACAATTCAAAGTGCTGGTTTTGACCTACAAAACCCTGTACGGTTCCGGTCCAGTGTATCTGTCCGAACGTATCTCCCTCTACGTCCCACCCCGGAGTCTGAGATCATCTGGGGAGGCCCTGCTCTTGACCCCACCGCTATCACAAGTGAGGTTGGTGGGGACGAGGAGCAGGGCCTTCTCAGTGGTGGCCCCTCACCTGTGGAACTCACTCCCGGGAGAATTAGGGCATCAACATCCCTCCTCTCCTTCAGGAGGAAAGTAAAGACGTGGTTGTGGGACCAGGCCTTTGGGCAATCTGACAACTAGATAAGGACAATCAAACGACTAGGACTGACAGGACTGACAATGTGGAATTGGAATTTGGACTATGAAATAGCGAACGCTGACCGTCTATGAGGAGTAATTGGGTTTGTATTGTTTTATTGGTTTTAGGGTTGTAATGCAGGAATTGTTGTTTAACTGTTCAACTATTTAACTGTTTAATTCATGTTATTTTGTTTTACTACTGTTATGTGATGCTGGCATTGAATTGTGCCTTTGGAAGCCGCCCTGAGTCCCCTTCGTGGTGAGAAGGGCGGGGTAGAAGAAACTGAAATAAATAAATAAATAAATTCACCATCTGGGATCGGCCCTCCAGGAAGGACCGGAGCCAGGACAAAACCGTGCCCCCGAGACCCATCCCAGAGAGCCGTCCCAGAAGGATACCATGATCGATGGTATTGAAAGCTGCTGATATGTCCAAGAGGACCAACAGTCACACTCCCCCTGTCAAGCTCTCTATGCAGGTCATCCACCAAGGTGACCAAAGCCGTCTCGGTGCTGTGGCTAGGCCTGAAACCAGACTGTGACAGGTCCAGATAATTGATGTCATCTAGAAAACCCTGGAGCTGGAAGGCGACCACCCACTCCAGCACCTTGCCCAGAAAAGGGAGGTTGGAGATTGGTCTGTAGTTGTTCAGCACTGTGGAGTCAAGGGAGACCTTTTTGAGGAGTGGACAGACCACAGCCTGTTTTACTTGAGATGGAAAAAACCCTGCTCCAGTGATGCATGAATGATCAACACAAACCAATCAACCAGCCCCTCCCTGGCTGATTTAATTAGCCAAGATGGGCAAGGGTCTAAAGCCGACGTGGTCGCCTTCACAGCACCAAGGACCTCTTCCACAGCCTCAGGAAGAACAAGCCTAAAAGAATCCCACAAAATTGGACAAGCAGATGCCTCAATCACCTCATCTGGAACTGTGATGAAATTGGAGTCCAGCTCAAGACGTATCTGAGCAACTTTGCCTGCAAAATGGTGTGCGAACTCACGACACCTGGTTGCTGGGTCATCAAAGATCTCCTCCACCACAGGTGGATGAAGGAGTTCCCCGACAACCCAAAACAGCTCCGATGATCTATTTGCTGCAGACGCTATACGGGCAGTCGTGAAAGACTCCTTGGCTACCCGTATAGCCACAGTATATGCCCTAAGAGAGGCTGTAGCCCGTGCTTGGTCAGACACGTCTCGAGATTTCCTCCATATGCGCTCTAGCCCCCTTCTCGTGTGTTTCATCACAGCTAACTCCTCTTTGAACCAAGGGGATGGTGTGTCTCGACACAACGCGATGGGGCGTTCAGGAGTGATCGTATCTATCACCCTGGTCATCTCCCTATTATAGTGATCAACTAAGGTGTTGACAGGATCGCCAGACTCCATGGCAGGAAGAACCCCAAGATTCCTCAGGAATCCCTCTGGATCCATCTGTCTCCTGGGGCGAACCATCTTAGTTTGTCCTCCACCCCTGCGGAGGTTGAAGGTCGCAGAAAGTCTAAAACTGATCAGATAATGGTCAGACCATGACAAAGGAAGGATGTTTTGTTCTTCCACTCTGACCATTCCACTGTCCGCCACAAAAACTAGGTCGAGTGTATGTCCAGCCTGATGGGTGGGTCCAGATATAATTTGAGAGAGCCCCATGGTCGTCATGGCGGCCATGAAGTCCTGAGCTGCGCCAGTCAAGGAGGTCTCAGCATAGATGTTAAAATCTCCCTACACAACCAGGCGCTGGGAGACCAAGGCCGAATTAAGAGACCACCTCTGCTAGCTCAGGCAGGGAAACTGCTGGGTCGCTGGGCAGGTGGTACACCAGCAGAAACCCCAAGCTGTCTCAGTTCCCCACTCTCAAGTGGACACACTCAAACCCAGGCAATTGCAGAACAGTGCATCTGACCATGGCTATGGATTGCCGAAAGACTACTGCGACCCCTCCTCCCCGCCCCCCCGGCCTGGCCTGCTGATGCACTCCGAAACCCGGTGGGCACAGCTGAGTGAGATTTGCTCCCCCCAGCTTGTCCAACCAGGTCTCCGTAATGCAGGCCAGATCCGCCCCCTCATCCAGGATCAGGTCCTGAATGGCAACGGTCTTTCCATTGACAGATCTGGCATTGATCAGCAGAACCTTAAGACCAAGGGGTCTGTCATGGAGCCTACCACTTCCTACCTTCTCCAGGGTCGCAAGAACTCTGTTGCGCTTCTCCCTGGGACGTTGGTGACCTGCAAATCTCCTCCCCCACACGAACTGGATGGTGCCCCCCTCCTCTGAGATGTTTTCCCCACATCTATGGCAGGCACCCCTATTAGGATGCCTGTCATAGATGTGGACCAAACATCAGGAGAGAATGCTTCTGGAACATGGCCATACAGCCCGAAAAACTTACAGCAATCCATTTCACAAAGCTCTCTCACAATTAGATGTTGACATTTTCTATATGAAGAGACACAAGTTATTTTTCAAGGGAATACAGATAATTCAATCCAAAGATAGCTGCTTCCTGCCTCTCATCCTGTTCCTCCTTTCCTTTAATCTAGCACCAGACACAAAGAGCAAAGAAAAAGACTATGGCTGCATTCAGATTCATGCATCAGTTTCTAGAAAAACAAGAGAGGAAACTGTTGGCTCAAATGGAAGATGTAGAAACTGAGATTTCTGCAAAATGGGAGGAACATGTGGCCAGACTCTCTGAAGAACTCTCCTCTCTCTCAAAACTCATCCAAGAGTTGAAGGAGAAGCACCAGCAGCCAGCCAGTGAACTCCTCCAGGTAAGACCAAAATTGTCCCCATAGATGGCAGAAACAGTGGCAACTCAGCTTTCTGATGGTTCGGGATACACAATATTACTCAAAATGACTTTAGTATTTAGACTGCCTCCGTCTGATCGGTTCCTTCCACTTCTTTTCAGACATGCCAGCAGTAATGTGACCATAGGGTGTGGAATTCTTTTCCTCTCCCCATTCCCCCTTGCTAGTCTCAACCTGGTGTTTTTCTTTTCCATTTTAGGGGAGGAAAATGGGGTTTTGAGGGAATGAGGAAGTACAGTCACAAAACCATTAATTCATAGAATCATAGAATCATAGAATCAAAGAGTTGGAAGAGACCTCATGGGCCATCCAGTCCAACCCCCTGCCAAGAAGCAGGAATATTGCATTCAAATCACCCCTGAAAAATGGCCATCCAGCCTCTGCTTAAAAGCTTCCAAAGAAGGAGCCTCCACCACACTCCGGGGCAGAGAGTTCCACTGCTGAACGGCTCTCACAGTCAGGAAGTTCTTCCTAATGTTCAGATGGAATCTCCAAAAGCGCAATTGAAAACAGGTGTGATATTGAAGGTGCTCAACCCAGTATATTTCTGCTTTCAATAATAATGTAACTGTACTGGAATAAGGAGTTTGTGTAATAATACCGTATGTTTCGATTGACCTCTGCTCCTGATGGCCATTTGGCACCAGGATAGATATTGGAGGAAGCTGGAGCTAACCACAGCCTAGGACCTCACACCACATGAATGATGCCTAAAGCATGCAATTCTGATGTGTGAACTTAAAGCATCCAAGTTTTCCAATAACCTGGAACTTGAAGCATAGCCGTTTGAATATGTATAATATGGTCAGTGTAGAGTCATATAATGTAGTTTAACTGCATTGGACTGCATGCATTATATGGCAGTGTAGTGAAGGAAACTAAGCTGGAGTGATAAGAAACACTATAATGTTTATGGACTGGAACAAAGTGCAATATGATCTGACATGATGCCGCAAGAATGTGAATGTATATTATTGCTGTTTTCAACTGTTTATTTTATAATAATAATAAAAACTTTATTTGTATTCCGCCCTATCTCCCCGAGGTGACTTAGGGCGGATTCCAGCATAACAATGGCAAACATTCAATGCCTACATAAAACACATGATACTAACATAAAATCCCGGAAACCCCCCACAATTAAAAGTAATATGAAAGCCTAACATCAAATTAAGGCCTAACATCAGTAAATTAAACCTGACATCAACACGTAATCAAACAAAATTCTCTAATAACAAAAATCTAAATAAAACATCCACATTAGTGTACAACAGCCAGCAAGGGCTCACAAAACCGTGTGGGTTGGTTATGTAGTCAAACAAGGTCATTGGGTTGGCGTGGAGCAGGAAAGCCCAAATATAAATAATTCTCAACCAGAAGACTGGCAGTGATCTCTCTACCGTCTATTCCTTCTCCTCTCCATATGCTAGTAAGCAGAAGTAGGTCTTCAGTTGCTTTTTAAAGGAGAGAAGGGAGGGGGCCAGCTTTATTTCTTTAGGGAGGGAGTTCCAGAGGTGGGGGGCGACCACGGAGAAGGCCCTTCTCTTGTTCCCACCAGCTGTGCTTGGGATGGGGGGTGGGGCCGAGAGCAGGGCCTCCTCCAATGACCGCAGTGCCCGGGCTGGTTTGTAAGAGGAGATGCGATCGGTCAAATAGCCTAGACCCAAGCCGTTTAGAGCTTTAAAGGTAACGACGTTTTCTATGATGTTTTATACTTATTTATTTTATCATCAGGAACAAACCAAGGCTACAATTGTAATGTATTTAAACAAACAAACAAAAACCCACAAAGTTTGAAAACTTGGCATTATACTAAATGTTCTTTGACCAGTAGCTGGCTACTTGGAGTACCTCTGGTGTTGCTATAAGAAGGTCCTCCATTGTGCATGTGGCAGGGCCTAGACTGCACTGTAATAGGTGGTCTGAGGTTTACTCTCCTCCACACTTGCATGCCGTGGACTTCACTTTGTGGCCCCATTTCTGAAGGTTGGCTCTGCATCTTGTGGTGCCAGAGCTCAGTCTGTTCAGCGCCTTCCAAATCGCCCAGTCTTCTGTGTGCCCAGGAAAGAGTTTCTCATTTGGTATTGGCCACAGCTTGAGGTTCTGAGTTTTAGCCTGCCACTTTTGGACTCTTGCTTGCTGAGGTATTCCTGTGAGTGTGTCTGTAGATCTTAGAAAACTATTTCTTGATTTAAGGAATTTGGCATGCTGGCTAATATCCAAACAGAGGATGGGCCAAATATGTCACTGCCTTGGTCCTTTCACTATTGGCTGCTACTTCCCGGCGGATGTCAGGTGGTGCAACACCGGTTAAGCAGTGTAATTTCTCCAGTCGTGTTTATACTTATTATCAATGTATTTTGATTGTTGCTTACATGATTTTGATATGTTGTAAGCCTCTTTGGGTCCTGTGAAGGAGAAGAGTGGGTTATAAATAAAGATTTATTATTATTATTATTATTATTATTATTATTATTATTATTATTCTGACACAAAAACACAATATGGCACAGCAAATGAGATATGCTGGATTTCATATCACAAAATCAGAAGCTGAACACTTCCCAAGTGTTTAGGACTGTTTGATGTATTATTATTATTATTATTATTATTATTATTATTATTATTATTATTATCATCCCATCTCCATAGGCTTGCTTCAACTATTTCATGTTAGAAGTGCCACTTTTTCAGACATATGAGCACGGTCTCCATGCAAATGTTTGGCCTGATTTATTTTCCCTTTCATTTACAGGATATTAAGTGCTTCATACAGGGGTAAGTTGATCTCCTGCAAAAACCCAGATGTATATATGAAGCAAATAACTCCCCTGTCTCAGGACCCTTCCACACTTCCCAAAATGAAAAGGAATTGCCATTTAAAATTCCACTCGTAATTGAGTGCCAGACAAGGGGCAAAACCCCGCTGACTGGTGGTGTGTGTGTGGCCAGATGTCCACTCATGCTGACACATGATTCATGATCATAATTGTCCCCCATACCTGCAAAGATCTGGGTTTTCCAGTAAGATCTAGAATTTTGCAAATATTTGGTTAATCATGGCTAATCATTCCTTTGGACGGTCCGGCCTAACCCATTTCCTGGGCCACATTATGTCACTGTGTCGAGATGGGGCCTCAGGCTCTCAAAAACATTTGATCAGTTGATGTTTGCTGGAATGCACAAGTGGAGTTGGACTTGATGGCCTATGAGGCTCCTTCCAACTGTATGATTCTGTGGATGCATCAACACCTTAAAATTAATACCATTCGACATCACTGGAAATGCCATGGCACAATCCTGGGAATTATAGTTAGGTGAACTGCCAGCACTCTTTGGCAGAAAAGGTGAAATACCTTATATGACAGGCATCCTTAAACTGTGGCCCTCCAGCTTTTGGAGGCCTGAAGAGCTGGAGGGCCACAGTTTGAGGATGCATGTTATAAGACTACAACTCCCATGGTTGTGGGTCATCCAGTCCAGCCTCCTGCTAAGAAGCAGGAAAATCCATTCAAAGCACCCCCAACACATGGCCATTCAGCCTCTGTTTAAAAGCCTCCATGGAAGAAGCCTGCACCACACTTCAGGGTAGAGAGTTCCACTGCTGAACAGCTCTCACAGTCAGAAAGTTCTTTAATGTTCAGGTGGAATCTCCTTTCCTGTAGTTAGCCAAAGCAGTGAAATTGATGTCAAATCCTGTGATATTTTTCCTTCTCCTCCAGGTGTGAGGATAAGGAGGAATCTGTGGCTCCTGCAGTGTTTCCACCTGCTCTGAAATGGAAGATCTGGGACATCTGTGACATAAATCCCTTTCTGGAGGGTATCATGAAGAAATTCAGAGGTAACAGAGAATGTCCGCAATGATTTTTAGTGAGGTACGGCCTTGGTCTGAAAGGGAAAAGAAAATGCCTCAGATAGACTAAAAGTATGTTTATAACTTTATTTTTATACCCCATCTCCATCTCTTTGAAGGGACTCGGAGCAGCTTACCTGGGGCCAAGCCCAATCTCACAGAGTTAAAACATAGCATGTACAAATATAACAACAATGTAAAAGCAACATAAAGCAGCATTATAGCAATAATAAAACAGGCACCATCATGCAAAAGAGGTAGACAAGGCAAAAACAAGCCAAGGACATTGAAACTATTTCAAATTGTGTATCTAAATATTTTGCAGTGGCTCTGTTCCATCCTTTATGGAACTGAAACATTTTATTTTCTACCAAAGCAAAGCTAGTGTGAGCCTAATCCTCAAAGAGACATATATAGGAAGAGTGCCCCCGGTGTTGCTATAAGGAGGTCCTCCATTGGGCATGTGGTAGGGCTCAGGCTGGATTATAATAGGTGGTCTGTGGTTTGCTCTTCTCCACACTCACTTTGTGGCCCCTTTTCTTAAGGTTGGCTCTGCATCTCATGGTGCCAGATAGGAAGGTGCTCTTCTGCACAGAGAATAATTGGTTGTCCTCCTCCTCTTTGGAAGAACTTTATAGGTTCTGCATTCTTGAGCATTAATCTCATCAAGCATCTCACTTATTTTGACTTATGTATTACCATCTGGCAGACAATACAGGGTGACAAAGACAAGGACAAACAAACTGAGAGATAGCTTTTATCCTAGAGCTGTAGCTATGTTGAACTCCATGTTTTCACATTAATGTGGCATTGGGGGCTGTGCAGTGGTGGTTGGAGTGTGGAAGGATGGGTGTGTTGTTTTGTGATGTGTGCTGGGGAAAGCATTTAATTTCATTGCACAAAGTACAATGACAATAAAGTTATTCTATTCTATTTTCTTGTTGCAAATACTAATATGGTTCCTGCTATGCTATATCTCCCCATGATATCGAGCTGCTTTTAGCAGAGTCCCCTCGAGAGAGAGGGACCCGAGGACCGCGCCAAAAGGGCCCTGGATACCTTGGTGAGGCCAGGAAAATTGCCAATTTAAAATAAAAAATAGTAATAATAATACCTCACCAGGCGGAAGAAATCAGCGGCCGAAGTTTATTGCGACACAGCTGTAGTTGGATGCAAAGCAGGAATAATTCCACCGCAAGCATGGTGCTAGGGTGGTTACAGACATTTTTATAGAGGAAAACACAAAGAAAACAATTCAAAATTCCCGCCCGCCCTTTGCCGGCCGGCTCCGTGCTGATTGGCTGGCTGTGGAACAGCTGGGAGGAGGTTTGGCGACCCGCCCCGCCTCCGGGCCAATCAGCGTGCTTCTCCGCCTCCTAGGGGCCAATAGGAATGTTTCTCTCGCTCCCGAGGATGGACCAATCAGGAGCGAGGGGGCGGGACGAGCCTTCACTATGGAGGAGTGATGGGATTACGGCCGGCCAGCTGTGATTGCAAACAAAGGTTTTCCTGTTTGGAATGGTTTTGGGGGAAAAGAATATCGGCCAGACAACGGACCTCAAAGGGGGATCAACGTCGCCTTTGTTTGATTTAATCAATCTTTTATCCAAGTTTCTGTTGACTTCCTCCCCTCACTAGACATGCTCAGAGGGTGAGGAGTGGGAATCAACAGGTATTGTTTCATGCTGATGAGTCAATCAGGAAGGGTTTGGGGAAAACAGAGGAACTTCTCCCCAGGGCATCACAGTAATCTTCAGGTCACAACTTTGTGGGGCAAGGGTAAACAGGAAAGGTGGGAAAAGGGGACACAGTATATTCCGCACAACATTTCATTACATATATTTCATAAAGCAAAACCCCATCCCCATCCCAGGAAAATTTACTATAATATTTGATCTTTATTATTACATAAATCGGAGATTTCATAGATGTGGAAAAGGATGCGCGGAAACGGAGGCTGCCAGCATCTCAGATCAGGCACCAGCAGAGGATCCATGGCTGTGGATATATAAACAGTTCAGTTCATGAGTCAGGGAGTCAAAAAGAAAAGGCAAAGTAGTCCAGTGGCGAGCGCTGGGTTGGATGGCAACAGAGTCCATTTGTCCGGCCTTTGGAGAACTATGTCTCTCCTCCAGGGCCGGGGTCCCCGCCTGGCCGCCTTCCCAGGGCCTCCCATGGGTAGCCATAGTGAGCCCCCGGCTGCGGGGCTGGGCAGGAACAAGCGGCGCTGAAAAGAAACGGGCTGCCTTGGAAGAAACCGGCCAAATTGACAAACAGCTGATTTCTGTCAAATAATAATACTTTAAACAAAATGATTATTCCCCGGGCGCAGGAGTCCAAAATAAGGAAAGCAAGATGGCAGTTAGTCTTAGAGTTAATAGCAGAAAAATACAAAATTGGAACGGTGTCGATCCGCCATTTTGTTGTTTAAGCGGATACGGGGGTCCAAAATGGCAGTTTCCGTATCCGCGGTTTTAAACGAACGCAGATCCGGCATTCCGGGGGTGCCAGTAGGCGCCCCCGGCAGGCTCACGGCTCTCCGGAGCCTGGAAAAAGGTTTATTTTTATGTTGGATTAGTCTGAGGCAGGAAAAGATACAAAAGTAGCAAGCGGAGAGATTAAATGTTGCAAGTTTCAAGTACTTTTATTAGGGGAATGTTACAATGTAAGGAGAGGGGGAAAGCAAAGGAAAGCTGCAGGCATTCCTGGTTTTGAGCTGGCTGTTGGGGCACATTTCATCCATTGGTCCCAAATTTGGCTCCCAGGAACAGCGGAACTCTCCGCTGCGGTTCACACCAATTCGAAGGCGGGGGTCTCAGCCGCACTCGGGCTCAACCTTCCTCTGTTTTTCTGGCCAAATCAGATCAGTCAAAATTGACTAGGTATCCTTTACATTCACTGTGGTTAAGGCCCCTGTGAATATAGAAAAGCCACAAATAAAAAAAAACAACAACTGTACTTTCCCTGTCAATGCAATGATGCACGCTGGTTTTCCGATGCCATCTTTCCGAAATGAGGCAGAAATCTGTGTTTGGTTGAAATTACACTACAGCTCTCGGGTGAAGGATCTCAGCCATCCTGTGCTATTTAGCCTTGGATATCTGAGAGTCACCATGTCCTGCTCAGTCTCTCTCTTTCCTTTCTTTCTTTAGACTCTCTGGAATCTGGACTTCAACAGCAAAAAGGTAAACATGAAAGATTTTGTTCCAGGGGAGTTTGCCATGGCCTTCCCTCTGAGACTGAGAGAGCGGGAATTGCCCAAGGTCAGCCAGGGGCTTTGTGTTATAGAGGCAGGATTTGCACCCTGGTCTCCCAGATTCATGATTCTATTTGCATAGCGTTAGTATTTGGGCTTCATTTTGGTCCATTTATTTGTCTTTTTAACAGAAGTCTCCTAAAACTTTTTACCCAGCCTTAACCACACTTCCACATAATACAGAAGAGCCATGCAAAACAAAACCAACAACAACAACAACAATTTTATTTTTGTACTCCGCCTCCATCTCTCCGAAGGGACTCGCGGCGGCTTACATGGCACCAAGCCCGAGCGAACATAGTTAAAATTTAACACATTAAAATTCATAAAACTGCAACAAAAAGAAACAAAACAAACAACAGCATAACACAGTATAAAAAACAACAATCAAACATACACACACACATATATATAACACCTCTCCCTTTCTTTCAGGTTGCGTCTACACTGCAGAAGCAATGTAGTTTGACACCACTTCAAATATGGCTCAAAGTTATGGGATCACGGGACCTTGTAAAACTACAACTCCCATGAATCAATAGCATTGGGCTGTGGCAGTCAAAGTAGTGTCAAAATGCGTTATTTATTTATTTATTTATTGTATTTGTATACCGCCTTTCTCAGCCAATCGACGACTCAAGGCGGTTTCCAACAAATCAGAACACATAAAAACATAATATAGATTAAAACATTAAACAATATAAAACACCACAAGAGCAATTCATGCTAAAGAGTAGATGCATCCTAAGGCAGCGGTATATAAGGTACACCTTCTACGATGTTTTTGTGGCCTTCAATTCCTCTGAAATCTCTTTATTAAAAAAAAAACAACCTTGAACAGCCATTCTAATATGTTTTCAATAAGTTGCAAAGACCCCTTTGCAGTGTTTAATGTGAAAACCCAAGCATGTTTTCTTGGCCACTTTGTGGGTTTAGTATTTATTCTTCAGTAGCCCATGTACCACTTGGAGGGCTATGTGGCTTAAAAGTGGTCCCTTGGACCCTGAGCTACATCTACACTGTAGAACTAATGCAGTTTGATCCCACTTCCACTGTCACAGCTTAATGGTATGGAATCCTGGGAGTTTTAATTTGGGGAGGCACCGGTACTCAATGGCAGAGAAGGGTAAAGGCCCTGTGAAACTACACTTACTGTGATTACATAGCATGGAGTCATAGCTGTTAAATTGTACCTTATTTCTGGGCTAATTTCTAGCATAATTCATCAAAAGCACAAAAATATTGGCTTGGGAGGGTTACAGGAACTACAAAAATTACCTCAGAGCTCCACTTTGTCCACCCTTTTAACCATTATTTGCCTACAGATAAGCCTACCTCCACCCTTTAGTGACTCAAATAATAGTGTGGTTTCATTACAAATGACCTGGTGGGAGTGAGGAGATCATTGGGATTCCCTCTCCTGATGAGAGTTTGGGAATGACAATTTTTGAGGACTCCAAATGTTCTCACACTCTGCTCATATCAATCTTCATTAGCAATCAGAGTAATTAAAAGTACTGTGCAATTTCCCAGTGGTTTAGAATATAACAGTCATCCGGAGATCATCCGGAGTTGTGGGGTGCGATGTCATCTGTATGCAGATGATGTCCAACTCTATCACTCTTTTCCACCTGCCACTAAGGAGGCTGTTCAGGTCATGAACCGGTGCTTGGCCGCTGTCACGGACTGGATGAGGGACAACAGATTGAAACTAAATCCAGACAAGACAGAGGTACTCCTGGTCAGTCGTAAGACCGAACAGGGTACGGGGTTACAGCCTGTGCTGGACGGGGTCACACTCCCCCTAAAAGCTCAGGTACGCAGTCTGGGAGTTCTCCTGGACTCATCGCTGAGCCTGGAACTCCAGGTTTCAGCGGTGGTCAGGGGAGCTTTCGCACAATTAAAACTTGTGTGCCAGCTGCGTCCGTACCTTGGGAGGGCTGACTTGGCCACGGTAGTACACGCTTTGGTTACATCCCGCTTAGATTACTGCAACGCTCTCTACGTGGGGTTGCCTCTGAAGACTGCCCGGAAGCTGCAGCAAGTACAACGCGCAGCAGCCAGATTACTAACGGGTGCTGGGTACAGGGAGCACACCACTCCGCTGTTACACCAGCTCCACTGGCTGCCGATTAGCTTCCGAGCACAATTCAAAGTGCTGGTGTTAACCTATAAAGCCCTAAACGACTCCGGCCCTGTTTACCTCTCCGAACGTATTCTCCCCTACGAACCATCAAGACCACTAAGATCGTCTGGAGGGGCCCTGCTCTCGGTCCCTCCGCCTGCACAAGCACGGCTGGTGGGGACGAGGGACAGGGCCTTCTCGATGGTGGCCCCTCGACTTTGGAACTCCCTGCCATTAGAGATCAGAACTGCCCCCTCCCTCATGACGTTCAGGAAACTAACAAAGACCTGGTTGTGGAACGCGGCATTTGACAACTGATTTAATTCCTTGCCCACATAAAAGGAGGATGATGAATGGGATTGTGATGGTGTCGGACGATTTGGCTCTTTTAACTGGGATGATAATGTTTTAATGTGTATGGTGCTGATATTTTAATCGTGTAATGAAGTGGCATTGTGTTGTTATTGTATATTTTTTGTATGTTAAACACATGTTGTGAACCGGTCCGAATCCCTCTTTGAAGGTGAGAGGGTCGGTATATAAAACCTCGAAATAATAAATAACAGTCAATTTCAGTGAAAACAATGGATGACAGAAATTCCTAATGATTGGAAAATCGTTGTTATTAAGAAGAGTGCTGAATATTGCAGCAACAAACATGAGGTCCATGACCCCTTCCACATTTCCCTATATCCCAGGATTCCAGGTTATCTGGTTATCCCAGATTATCTGACAGTGTAGACTCACATAATCCAGTTCAAAGCAGATAATCTGGGATCAGATCTTGAGATATAGGGCAGTGTAGATCCATCCTAAATCTCTTTCCCCAAATTCTGGAGAGCCTCATTATGCAGCACAGGTTGAGAAAATGGCTTTAGGTTGAATGTTTAGGTTTGAGATTAAATCCCTTTGTATGAAGATTCTGGATTCTGGAGAGCTGCATTCTGACAGATGTAATCAAAAAGCAACTCTTTTCAAGTTCCAAACAAAATGGATAGTTTCAGGTTCCAAACAAAATGGACAGTTTCAGGTCAGCAATTAGTAACTGATTGTTCTCTGTTCTTTGAAACTATCTGGGAGTGAGTGTTTGCTTCCTGTTTAACCTAGAAGGCTAAATGGAGGGTTGCACAAATCTATATAAGCCAGTGTCGTGCACGTGCAAACTTACAGTTTCACAAACCCACACCTTTACTCCTGCATACAGAAAACAACATAAAACACACAAAGGGAGAGGTTATTAGCAGTCTGCAAACCCTTCCTGTCTCATGCACAAGTTGTGGTATGTTCAGCTTCTTCACGAAACAACTACTCAATTACATCTGCGCCAAGTGTAAACAGATAACTCTCATGGAACAGAGGACCCAACAACTTGGGGACCGTATTAAGATCCTTAAGGACATTCAGGAACTTGAGCTATTCTTGGACACTACACAACACACTGTTCTAGACACGCAACCCACATCACACCAACACCAACATTATGGGGAGGCTCAAGAGGAGATCACCTCAGATGTGGACAACCCTCAGGCTTGGAGGAATGTCACCCTTAGAAAGAGACATAGGACCAGGAAGCCTTCTCAGAACACTTCTGCTCAGCTGCAGTTACACAATAGATTCCAAATTCTTACACAACTAACACTTGACCAGGAACCGCAACATCTTGGGGAAGACCACAGTGACTTAGATACTGCTCAGTGAATTGTCCTTGATCAGTGCGCAGGGGATAGCCCTGACTGGGAAAACACTTCACAACATTCACACTTACACAATCATGCAAATGATCTATCCCAAATCATAGACCAGGTGCAACAGGAACACACTCAGGAGAATGATAGGCTCTTGGATGAATCTCAATGGATTATCCTTAACTAATGCACTGGGGATGTCAAGGAGGAGGACAATACTTTACACCTATACAATCCACTTCACTGTTCTGGGGACATACACTCTACCTTGCACAAAAGGAAATAGGTCTTGGTAGTAGGCGACTCCCTCCTTAGAGGATTAGAAACTGTCATTTCCAGACCGGATGGGATGGCTCAAGAAATATGCTGCCTCCCGGGGGCAAAAATACACCATGTCACTCAGAGGCTCCTAGGCAAAGAATTAGTCCCCTGCCCCAATATGAAACACTGGGGAGGATAATAGTGTCGTGGAAGGGGATGATTTGTATGGCTTCAAATTGTTTCCAACTTAGTAAAGTCAGCAAGTTCAGCAGCTCAGCGCTTCAGGGCTGTAGCCAGAAAACAATTTCGGGGAGGGTTGAAAATTTGGGGGGGGTTGAAATTTTTTTGGGGGGGGCGTTGAAACCTGCCTCCTAGCTCACACTGAAACACAGAGCACAGCAGGGGCAGAGCAGCCTTCAATAGCCTGCAGCTCCGCCCCTGTCAACCACCTCCACCAAGTCTGGCCTCCTTAATGAGAGCATTCAACACTCCCCCCCCCCCCCACCTTGGTTGCTTCACTACATCGGCTATTGCTGCAAGTAATGACAGTGTGAATAAATTGTCAATATTTGCTTGAGATAGTGCTTGCGGTTCTGGAGGGACTCTTAATTTTTTGCGTCTCATAGACTTAACATGGGGATTTGGTTAAACAGTTAAAATTCATGAGTAAACCAGGTTTTTTTTTAACCTGAAAAATTTCGGGGGGGAGGAGGCTGAACCCCTACCCCCCCCCCTCCCGGCTACAGGTCGGCAGCGCTTTAACCCACTGCACCATTCTGACTTATGACCTTAAAGAAATGCTATCATGGGCTTTTCTGGGGCTGAGAGAGTTTGACTTGACCAAGGTAATCGAATCCTGGTCTCCAGAGTCGTAATCCAACTACCTTATGTTCACATGTTATTCCTTAGGAAGGAGAGGGGCATGTCGTAGAACATGTTTAGATTTGAGGGGACGAGGATTTCCCTGTCATTTTATAAGGAGGAAGGATAGATGCTGATCCCTCCAGCAATTCACATATCTCTGTCTGTCTATCTGTCTTTTTACTACTTTTTCTCCACCCCTGATCTGCTTTTGCCACCCACAGTACATGTGACTCTGGATCCAGATACAGCTCATCCTGCTCTCATCCTCTCTGAAGATCACAGGCTTGTGGCGTTGGGAGAGAAAGAGCAAGATCTTCCTGACAATCCTGAGAGATTCCGTGACTATCCTTTTGTGCTGGGCCAGGAAGGATTCACAGGAGGCAGGCATTTTTGGGAAGTCCTTGTGGGGAATGAGGAAGGTTGGTTTGTGGGTGTTGCCAGGAAGTCGGTGGAGAGGAAGGACTTAGACCACTTTGGTCCCAAAGCTGGTATCTGGGAAGTGGGAAAGTATTGGAGTGAGTACAGCTTCTCCTCCAACAAATATGTAAAGCTATGTCTGACTCTGAATGAGGAGCCCAAAAGGGTTCGAGTGACTCTGAACTACGAAGGGGGTCGGGTGGCCTTTTACGATACAGACTCAGCAGCCTTGATCTTTGAATGCCCTCCAGCCTCTTTCTCAGGAGAGACCCTCCTCCCCCTGTTTTATGTGACTGAAAAAGCCCAACTGGAGCTCTCTCCCTAAGGATGGATAGCAACGTCCAAAAACTCACACCAGTTGACATACAAGATTGGCTTTATTTCCATAGATCTGGAACTGTTCCTTCTTTTTGTGGAACTTCTGTGCTCTCTCTTAGCTAAAAACTGACTGGGAGGCTGGAGAATGAATGATGAAGCCATTTCCCAGAGCAATGCTCAGCTCATGGGTTGACCAAGGACTTCCCCTCCCATTTGGAAAGGCAGCAACAATAACAACAACAGCAAAGAGGGAATAAAAGACTCAAACCAATTTTTTGAACTAATAATCCCATAATTCAGTAATAAGTGGGCAGCCTTCCTATTCCCCTTTCACCATTTTTCACCTTTCTCTGGGATGTAGGATAGATTTGCCTATAAGACTTTGGTTTCACACCCACAGAATCATAGAATCATAGCACCCCTGATAGATGGTCATCCAGCCTCTGTTTAAAAACATTGTTAGATTAGAACGACTGAAAACTGAAGTATTGTTGGCCCTCCATATTTGATGGTTTCACTTTTGCTGGTTGACTGTTCACAGATTTGGTTAATATAGTCTCTCTAGGGAAATTTAGGTCCTTCAGGCCAGATTTCTGTGGGAGTTAACTATAGGAGATTCCTAGACGAAACACTTCCCAAGGCATTTATAAGGCCTCCAGAATGAATCTGTTGGAAGTTGACCATGTTCCCTTTTTTTTTGGCTGTTTCTATTTTTGAATATTCACCACTCTTTCTGTACTTTTTTGTATTTAGTACTTTCCTTGTACTCTGTTAAAATGTTATAAAAAGTATAACACAAAAAAAAAGATGCCATGGACTCTTGTTTTTGCTGCAATAAATACGGAAATGTTGATTGGGTTTCCAAAAAAAGGTGAGTCCAATTTTTCCTCCCACAGAAATCTGGATAGCTAAACTGGGCTTTCCCAGATGGAAAAGGAGAGATGAGAGAAGGCAAGAGGAGAGCATGGATAAACAGGAAGACATAGAGATAGAAAAACACCATTATGGAAACAACACCATACTGCCTCTAGACTGAGAGGGGCAGTATATAAATATAGTAAATAAATACATAATTTCCTTTGGAGAGAACTGGTTTTACATTTGTTTTGTCTTTGATACCTGGCATTTGAGCCCTTTATAATCTCGCTGAGGAGTGAGTTCCACAGGTGAGGGGCCACCACTGAGAAGGCCCTGTCTCTCGTCCCCCACCAAATGCATTTGCGAAGCTGGTGGGACCGAGAACAGGGCCTCCCCAGATAATCTTAAACTGCGAGGCAGGACATAGAGGGAGATACATTTGGACAAGTAAGCTGAGCTGGAATCGTACAGGGCTTTATAGGCCAAGACCGGCCAAGACCAGCACTTTGAATTGTGCTTGGAAGTGGACTGGCAGCCAGTGGAGCTGACACAACAGGGGGTGGTATGCTCCCCGTATGTTGCTCCAGGGCTGCAGCTTCCTTCAGTCTTTTCACCTGGGTGAGGTCTTCCTCTTTCCCTCCTGCCTTCTCACTTGTCAGGCATTGTTGTCTTTTCTTGTTGTTATCAGAAAAATCAAAAGTCGTGTTCCATCTTCCCAAAGGGATTTGGAGACGAGTTTCCTCCAGACATCAGCACATGGATTAACTCCGTATTCTTTTCATTGAACTGTTTACATTGACAGTTCAATTTATTTATTTATTTATTTATTTCATGCATTTCTACCCTGCCGTTCTACCCCCCCCCCCCCCCCCCCCCGAAGGGGGACTCAGGGTGGCTTCATTGTAAAGTGGTAACTTTAGAATGTTTCTTGGTTAATGATCCCTGTCAGGGTGGATAAAGTTGGGAGGGGATTTCTCCCATTGCAACTATACTCTCTTCACACAAATTGAAACCAAGCTTAGTAGAACCAACAAATCAGGAACAGCTGTAAGATCACATTAAATGTACCAGAGACTTATTACAGGTTGAGTATTCTTTATCTAAAATGCTTGGGGACCATAAGTGTTTTATTTTTTACATATGCCTAATGACATATCATGGAGATAGAACCTGAGTCTAAACATGAAATTCATGTCTGTTTTGCATACACCTGATAGAGAATTTATGAAGGCAGTATTATTCCCAGTATTTTTATTTAGTTTGTTTATCAAATCAGAAACAGTTATATCTTGTAAGCTGCTCTGAGTCCCCTTTGGGGTGAGAAACATAGCATATAAATGTAGTAAATTAATAAAGAAAGAAAGAAATCTCAAACTGTTTCATATAGTCAGCATTCAAATAGCAAAGATGCCACTATCAGCCACTCAACCTGTGTTAAGGGTTTAGATTTAGCTTTACAAGCTGAGCAGTGGGGATCTTTATTGGTTACTATTGTCCGAATCTGTAGCTTTCTGGAGAAGAAATTACCTCACAAACAAAGTGGGCAGGCTTTTTTTCTAAAAGCATACATTTTGGTACAAAAAAAAAATCCAACTGACAGTTTCTTTCCCGCATGTCTCTTCTCCCTCAAACTGGCCCCTCCCCTTCATTGCACCCGTTTCCATGGAAACCCTTTCAAGTATGCACAGGCCAGGTCTAAGGCATGGTCTAACTTCCTGGTTTCACACAAAACCAGGAAATAAGGTGATGGCAACGATGAGATATTTTCCTATTCAAATTCTCTTTCTGACAAACAGTTATTCCTTCCATATAAAGAAGTGAGAATTTTGTGTCTGGATATGGTCCCTGTACAAATCCTGGGCTCCCCCAGACCCTAAACCTTAATTTCTGCCATAAATATTCCATGTTCATTAGAAAAAAACGCCAAGGGGGAGTGGCAATGCACTAAAATGCTTTATCAGGAGGACTGCGCCTCAAAGCAGCCATAAACTGACCTTTGAAAATGGTCCAGAAGTGATCATGTTCTGTTCCCCAAAACAGTGGCAGTGTGGCCCATGAAGGGAAATGGGAGTCGCAAACCCTGCCAAAAAGAAAGATTGTTTCATGGATCCATTTCAAATGTTCTCTTTAGGAATTTCATGCACCCCTCGTGGTCCAAAAGTTGACCATAGAGTCACACTAGTGGCAGTATCCCACTGGAGCTGAAAGAGAAGGAAAAGAGGATGCATCCCACTTGTCATCCTGTTTCCCGTCTTTCCTGCAGAAGTCTTGGGCTTGGCTTGGAATTCAGGGGAGGTGGCTTGAAGCTGCCTGGACAGAGAGGTCCTTGGTCTCACTCAACTCCAGGGTGAGAGGTGACATCTGTTTTCTTGTAGCTTGAATCCATTGCTGTGTGTCCTAGTCTCCAGAGCAGAAGAAAAAACCTTTCCCCTTCTCAATTTGACATCCCTTCAAATATTTCAGCTTGGATACAATGCTACCTCTCACCCTGCTCTCTAAGCTGCTCCTCATATAATTGGCCTCCAGACCTTTGACCAAATTGGCCATTCTTCTCTGGATATGTTCCAGTGTGTCAATATACTTCTTGAACTATGGACTCATACTCTGGACACATACATTTCTGGCACGTCCTTGTGAGAAGTGAGGGAACATGGCTGTAGGGTTTGCCTGACAGCTGTCATGGGTGTTTATTGCCCTCTGATGGGGAGCCATTAGTTTTGTATTGATTCTGGGTGTGAGAGCAGAGCATTTCCCTGTATTCCCACCTATCTTGTTCTCCTCTGTTTGCCTTCTCTGCCAAAGAGTGCTGGTTCCTGGTCAAACTACATTCCCATGACTCCATAGCATGGAGCCATGAGAGCTCAAGTGGCATCAAACTGCATTTATTCTACAGTGTAGATTAGTGGTTGCCAACCTTTTTTTGACCAGGGACCACTTGTTAGCAGGGATGCAAGGTTCAAGAATAATAAACTGTATTAATAAAAAAACCTAATCAAAACTTTTAGCGTATTTGCTAAATTTAATAGTAACATGAATTAAGAGTACTGTTATAATATAAGAAAGAACATTTTAATAAAAATTAAATTTGGTGTCCATCAATGTGATTTTTGAACTTGCATCTTCTTTACAAGATTAATCCTGGGGCTAATATTATTGCATCTCACCACTTACTTTCAATCGATTCCTGGACTTGTTTTTAAATATCAGCAAAGCAGAAAACCCTTGTTCACATAAATAAATTGTGGAGAAGAGCATAAGATAGCACAAGGCAATTCCTCAAATTTTAGGATAAAAATTGCTTGTTTACACCAATACTCCTCAAGAGAATCAGATTTTTTAAAAGGTTGGGAACCACTGCTCCAAACCCATTGAACCCCATATGGGAGGCAGGGGGAAGCAGGGTTGGAGGGGGCCATGTTGGTTGGAAGCCCCTCCTGATCATCAGTCGGCAGGAGGAGTCCAGTAAAAGCAAGGCAAAAGAAAGGAAGAGAAGAGGAAAAAAGGAAGGGGGAAGGAAGGACATAAGAAAGAAGGTGAAGGGAAGGAAGGGAAGGCAAAGGAAGAGTAAAGGAAGGATGGGAAAGAGAAAAGAAGGCAAAGGAAAGGAAGAGAAGAGAAAAGGAAGGGCAAGATAAAAGAAGGCAAAGGAAAGGAAGAGAAGAGGAAAAAGGAAGGGGGAAGGAAGGACATAAGAAAAGAAGGTGAAGGGAAGGAAGGGAAGGCAAGGGAAGAGAAAAGGAAGGAAGGGCAAGAGAAAAGAAGGCAAAGGAAAGGAAGAGAAGAGAAAAGGGAAGGAAGGGCAAGAGAAAAGAAGGCAAAAGGAAGGAAGTGAAGAGAAGAGAAGAGAAAAAAGGAAAGAAGGGCAAGATAAAAGAAGGCAAAGGAAAGGAAGGGGAGAGAAGAGGAAAAAGGAAGGAGGGACAAGAGAAAAGAAGCCAAAGAAAAGGAAGGGAAGAGAAGAGAAAAAGGATGGAAGGGCAAGAGAAAAGAAGGCAAAGAGAAGTAAAGGAAGAAGAGAGAAAAAGGAAGGGCAAGAGAAAAGAAGGCAGAGAGAAGGAAGAGAAGAGAAAAAGGAAAGAAGGGTAAGAAAAAAGAAGGCAAAGGAAAGGAAGAGAAGGAAAGGGAAGAAAAGAGGGAAAGGAGGAAGGGAAGAAAAGAGAAAAGGGAAGAAAGGAAGGGCAAGAGAAAAGGAAAGGAAGGAAAGGGCATAGAAGGGAAGAAGGCAGGCAAGGGAAGAGAAGAGAAAGAAAGCAAGGAAAGAAGGGTAAGAAGGGAAAGGAATGGAAGGGAAAGGAAAGGAAGGGAAGAGAAGAGAAGGAAAAAAGGTGGGTAAGGGATAAGAAGGGAAAGGAAAAAGCAAGAAAAGGCAAAGCAAGGGAAGAGAAAGAGGGAAGGAGACCCCAATGCACTGAGGCAGTAGCACATGCCACCCTCATCATTTCAGATAAAAGGCCCTTATCTGATTAAGGTACTATGGAGAATGGCCTTGGTTTTGGTATCCATGGGGGGGGGGGGCAGGAGGGCTTCCTCCCTTCCCTCACTTGGTATTTGACCTCCATGGAACTGTTGCCCATCGTAGTCTGGTAGAAGCACTCACGGCACCCACTGATGCCGCCCTCTGAAGCCAGGAGAAGGCGCCCAAGGGAAGGCTTCACCACCTGGGTCTAGAAGGGCCTCGTGGCTTCACCTCGGAGGAAGGGGGCAGCAGGGAAGAACCTTACGCTAAGGAGGAATCCTAGAACTAGACAACACTGCATGGGTCATGCAGGAAAAGCACAATCAAAGTACCCTGGCAAATGGCCATCCAGGGAGCCTCATTTTAGTTCTTGTGGACTTCTGGTGGTCTGTGGACCACTGGTTGGGAACCACTGGCTAGTGGTTGGGAACCACTAGATGGTGGTGATGCCAGGAGAAAACCTTCCTCTGTCAATTTGAAAGTCCTACCAAGTTCCTATGCAGAGTTCTTTAGGGCTTTATAGATCATTACCAGCTTTTTGAATTGTAACTGGAAATAAACTGGGAGCCAGGGAAGCCTTTTTAAAGTAAGTGAGTTATCCATATACCTTAGACCAGTGATTCTCAACCTGTTTTTGATCATG